GAATAATAAATTTCAGAAATAGAATAAGTAGAATAAAATATAATAAAACTAGCATAAAACTTTCAGCTATAAAAAAGGCAGGTAATGGTAACATGGCCGGTAACGTGACATTATGTCAAGTACAGCAGACGAACATGGTTGTGTGTTTATAATCTATTCACAAGTCTAACGGCAGATGGAAAGAAGCTGTTCTTATGGCGGGAGGTTCTGGTCTGGATGGACCGTAACCTCCTGCCTGAGGGAAGCGGCTCGAAAAGTCTGTGTCCCGGGTGAGAAGGGTCAGCTGCTATCCGGCCTGCACGCCCCCGAGTTCTGGAGACGTACAGGTCCTGGAGAGATGGAAGGCTGCAGCCAATCACCTTCTCAGCGGAGCGCACAATGCGCTGCAGTCTATTTTTGTCCCTCACTGTGGCTCCAGCGTACCACACAGCGATGGAGGAGGTGAGGATGGACTCAATGATGGCCGTGTAAAACTGCACCATCATCTGGGCCGGCAGCTTGGCCTTTTTCAACTGCCGCAGAAAGTACATCCTCTGCTGGGCCTTTTTGATCAGGGAGCTGATGGATGGCTCCCACCTAAGGTCATGTGTGATGGTGGTTCCGAGGAAGCGGAAGGAGTCCACAGTGGTGACGGGGGTGTCCGTCAGGACGAGGGGGAGAGATGGGGCTGTGACTTTCCTGAAGTCCACAATCATATCCACTGTCTTCTGAGCATTGAGCTCCAGGTTGTTGCTGCTGCACCAGTACACCAGCCGTTCCACCCCCCTCCTGTAGGCGGACTCATCACCGTCAGAGATGAGCCCGATGAGGGTGGTGTCGTCCGCAAACTTGATCAGTTTAACGGAGTCATGGCTCCAGGTGCAGCAGTTTGTGTACAGGGAGAAGAGCAGAGGAGACAGTACACAGCCCTGTGGGGATCCTGTGCTAATTGTCTGAATGGTGGAGACATTCTTCCCCAGCCGCACGCACTGCCTTCGGTCCGTCAGGAAGTCAGTGATCCACCTGCTGGTGGAACTGGGTACGTTGAGCATGGAGAGCTTGTCCTGGAGCAGAGCAGGGAGGATGGTATTGAACGCAGAGCTGAAGTCCACAAACAGGATCCTAGCGTAGGTTCCCGGGGAGTCCAGGTGCTGCAGGATGAAGTGGAGGGCCAGGTTGATGGCGTCGTCTACAGACCTATTAGCTCTGTATGCGAACTGCAGAGGGTCCAGGAGGGGGGAGGTGAAGGACTTGAGATGAGGGAGGACCAGGCGCTCAAAAGACTTCATGACTACAGACGTCAGCGCCACAGGCCTGTAATCATTCAGTCCAGTGACATGGGGTTTCTTAGGCACAGGAACAATGGTGGACAGCTTAAAGCAGGCTGGAACATGGCAGGTCTCCAAGGAGATGGTAAAGATGTCCGTGAAGATTGGAGACAGTACCTCTGCGCAGTGTCTCAGGGTTGCGGGGGAGACACCGTCCGGGCCCGGGGATTTCCGAGGGTTTTGCCTACGGAAAACCCTAAGCACATCCTCTTCTGTCACTGAGATGGCAATGGAGGGGGAGGGGTGGTCAGTGGGGACTGTACTATTCACAGTGGTGAAGGTGGTGGGGGAGGCATGTGACACCAGAGTGGCTGAAGAAACCTGTGCAGTAGGGGGTGTGGGGGATGGGTGTTGCACTTCAAACCTTGCATAAAAGGAGTTAAGTTGTTCAGCCAGTTGTAGGTCATCAGCAGCATGTTGGGCTCTGGGCTTGTAGTTTGTGATTTGCCTGAGCCCTCTCCAGACAAAGGTGGAGTCATTGTTAGAGAACTGCTCCTTTAGTCGCTTGTTGTACAGAGATCTCGCCTTCTTCAACTCTTTTGAGAACCTGTACTTAGCGCCCTCGTAGCTCTCTCTGTACTTGGCTCTGTGAGCTGCTTCTTTCTCCCTCCTCAACTCTCTCAGTTTGGGTGTGAACCAGGGCTTATCGTTGTTAAAAGTGGCCCTGGTTTTAGTTGGAATAATGCTGTCCTCACAGAGTTTTATGTATGACGTCACAGTGTCTGTATATTCATCCAAGTTGTCTGTGGCAGATCCAAACACGTTCCAGTCTGTTGTGTCCAGACACACGCGAAGCTCCTCCACAGCCTCGCAGGTCCACTTTTTAGTAGTCCTCACTGCAGGCTTGGAGAGCTTCAGCCTCTGCCTATATGAGGGGATGAGGTGAATCATGGTGTGGTCTGAGAAGCCGAGAGCAGCACCCTGCACGGCTTGGTAAGCTCCACTGACTGTGGTGTAGCAGTGATCCAGCGTGTACTGCTCTCTTGTTGGGCATTTAACAAATTGTTTGTACTTAGGCAATTCCTGGCTCAGATTTGCCTTGTTAAAGTCCCCGAGGATAATAACTAGAGAGTCCGGCAAGGTCTGTTCCACACTTAGGATCTGCTCCGCGAGCGCACGTTGTGCCTCGCGCACGTCCGCGCACGGCGGGATGTAAACAGCGGCCAATTCATGCCCTCCTTCAATCCCCCTGTTTTATGCAGGCTTTCATCTGTCCAACAAGTCCAAGATTTGAGTGTTAGAAAGTGTTTAATATATTTCAAAAAATCTTGCTCACTGTTTGTTGGAAATAAGGGGAAACCCTGAAAAAGTAGGGCCAGCATGCAGGCAACGCTCCACATATCTGAGCTTTCGTCCCAACACATTCTCACACCCAAAGCGTCAAAATATGACGCGTGTGACCAAGCATCAATATATGACGATTCGGGATGCCCCAGTGCGTCAGGAGATGACGATCAGGGACACACTGATGACGCACCGTCCCAGAGCGTCTGTATCCGACGCCGGTGGTGAGACAGACTTTAGAACGACTTGTGAACTACTTAACCTTCCCCTCACCCCAATCCCAACCTTAAGGTCACAGTTACTGACCTTAAGGTTAGGATTGGGGTGAGGGGAAGGTTAAATAGTTGAATCCGTGTGACCGCGGGCATCAAACACTGACGCCAGTGGAGCCACGTGTCCCTGCGTGTCTCTGATCGTCGTCTCCTGACGCGCTGGGGCATCCCGAATCGTCATATTTTGACGCTTGGTCACACGCATCATATTTTGACACTTTGGGTGTGAGAATGTGTTGTTCGTCCAGTTGGCCGTCTAAAAAAAATTCTGGGGTGCTATAGCCAGCTGATGGTTGGATCTGCACATCTGATAATTTCAATGTAAGATTTGCAGCCCCAAAGCCAATCAGTTTAAGCTTGAATGGCTTTATGGTCGATGAACGTGATAATATCTGGTCTAATCTTCAGGGTATCCGCGGATCCTTAAAAAGTCTTAAATTTGCTTTTCCAAATTTAAGGCCTTAAAAATCCGTAAAAATGACAAATAATCCTTAAATACAGTTTCCCAAGGTCTTAAATTTCCTAAGACCCAATTAACAAGACTCTTATTTCTAAAATTTTTTTGTGAATTTCTAGTTTGTGTTCAGCATTTTTTATGTATGACATTTGCATAAGTGGAACTGTACACATTCAGCTGGTTGTGAAAAGGGGCTATTTTTAGATGAGCACATTAGCTGGTTAAGCTAGTGGGAGGTCATTTAGTTATCCTCTCCGGTGTAAGGAATAAAAGTATTTGTACACCAAAAAGTAAAGTGTGCAAAATACCTCATAATTCAGTTTAAAATTTGTGAGTTTCTGATAAAGCATCCAAAAATCTAATATATAAATCTAAAGTATTAATGTTGGTATTAGCGGGGGTGGGGGTGGGGGGTCCTGGCATATTCCAATGACTCCGGTTGGGTTCTGAGTCTGACGAAGACACAAACATTGTTTAAATGTTCGTTTCTGTTTTTTGCTCCTAATTAAACATTTGTTCTCACTGGAGTGCTCCAACTCTCCTGCTTCTCATTCTGAAAGTGGATGGATCATGGATCAGAAACTATTTGATGGGTTAATCCCCCAATCAAACCCCTTAATGCTGAGTGTCAAGCGGGGGAGGCATTGGGTACCATTTTTAAAGTCTTTGGTATGACCTGACCGAGATTTGAACTCACGGTTCCCAGTCTCAGGGCAGACACTCACACCACCTAGGTTGGCTCAGATAGTGACCTTGTTACAAATCTGGGAACGATTCTGTAGTAAAGCATCTACACAAAGTAACAAATGACTCTGAATTCACCTGATTAATGAAACATAGCAGGAACATTTCAGTAATTGTAGATAATTTGGTTAGAACATGAATTTTCTTTATCATTTCTGTATAATTACACATCTACTATATAAAAATCACTCATGTGTTCAGATGCAACAACAAACTGACATGGAGGAAACTCACCTGCTACATCTCCACCTCCGTGTTTCCTCAGCACCTTAAAGGCATCTGCTCATGATATCAGGAATTCCCAGGATGCATCATTGCAGCAAAAATGTCAAAAGTCCAGCTTTATGTGTCGGTTTCCTCTGCAGGGTGGATAGTTGTAATATCGTAATTCTCAGCAGCTACTCCACCGTCAGAAACACACACCAGCTGAAGGCTCCTTTGATCACCTGCTGAAAACCAGATGCAAGTGGATTAGGATTAAACCCCACCACAGGCGACGTGAGCGCTGAATAAACAGATGAAGGCTATGTTAAAGGGCAGCGAGCCTTTGCGAAGGATGCTGAGTTGTGTGGGACTTTCACATGGTTTCACACGCTTACAGATTTGGAATCCATCAAACTTTCCACGCCTCTGTTGACTGAACTAGTTGGCTAATTTTCCTTACAAACACGACTGTTTGCTGCTTTCGTAACTTTCGTCGGGCTCAGTTGTGGCCTGCATGTGAAAGTTATCAGGTTTTCTCCCAGCTTATGGAAATGTCTGAGTGTTTCGCTGATTATTGTATCAGCATTTTTTAGTTATTTTTGGCACTTTGGATTGTTTTCAATCTGCAATCTAAAGGTCCTGGGTTTCAAAATGTTTTGAAAATAAACTTTGCCCTGCTTGACCAATAATAATGGCTTTTGGGGAATTTTTGACCTATTTGAGTAATGGAATACTCTTTTTGGTGGAGATGCAAATATATTCACCAGATATGTGTTTTTGCAAGGCTCAAATGTGCTGCAGAATGATGAGTTTACCAGAGATCTGTTCCGGTTCTTACAACTTCTCTGTGAGGGCCACAATGGAGGTGAGGAGGATGTTTTAGTAATAAACCCATGTGGGTATATGGCTGCTTTTATGCATTGTTTTTGTTTTTGCATCAGATTTCCTGAACTTCCTGAGAACCCAAACAGGAAACACAACAACGGTCAACATCATCATCAGCACTGTTGACTACCTGTTGTGTCTGCAGGTGAGTAAAACACAAACACTGTCCCATCTCCATCATCACTATCCTTATAACCATTACTGCCCTCCCATTCAGGAATCTATCAGTGATTTCTACTGGTACTACTCTGGAAAAGATGTAATTGATGAAACTGGGAAACTTAACTTCTCCAAGGCGTTATCTGTTGCCAAGCAGATATTCAACTCGCTGACTGAGTACATTCAGGTAGGAAGGAGATGAGATCTCAGAATTAAGATGAACTTTGTGTTTCAGCAAACATCTCCATATGCTTTAGTCTGTCCCTTCTCTGGTCTGCAGGGGCCTTGCATTGGAAACCAGCAGAGTTTAGCTCATAGCAAACTGTGGGATGCGGTTGTGGGCTTCTTGCATGTGTTTGCAAACATGCAGATGAAGCTATCACAGGTATATTAAACCAAGATGTTTATATTTGTTCACAAAAAAAACAGAATGCAGGCTTTATCTCACGGCACAGTGAAGTGTCAGCTAAATAAAGGTGTTGGTATGAATAAGCAGGGTCCTAACCCTAACCCAGACCATTTCTGTAAAACGTAACACCTATGTCATTGCCCGACCAGCTACGCAAACAAAATTCTTCAACTTGTGTTTATTTCTTTCTTACTTATAGGATGCCAGTCAAATTGAGTTGCTAAAGGAGCTGACGGACTTACAGAAGGACATGGTGGTCATGTTATTGTCTCTACTGGAGGGCGAGACTATGACACTGTAAAACCCTCAAGTTTGTCTTTTACTGAGCTGTGATTGTTACAAACCAGCCAGAAGGTTGGCAGCTGGGATGAGAACCAGCTCCTCTGAATCTGAGACCATGGTCTTTAGTCAGAAGAGGGTAGAATGACTTTGCCAGGTCAGGGACCAGGTCTTGTCTCTAATGGAGGAGTTTTAAGTGTCTCGGGGTCTTGTTCACGAGCGAGGGAAAGATGGAGCACGGGTGATTGGTAGACAGACTAGTGCTGCGTCTGCAGCGATGCGGGCGTTGCACCAGTCTGTTGTTGTGAAGAAAGAGCTTTGCCTTCTGGCTCTTGAATTACCAGGTGATCTACGTTCCTACCCTCAGCTATGGTCACGAGCTTTAGGTAGTGACTGAAAGAATGAGATCACGGATACAAGCGGCCGAAATGAGTTTTCTCCCCAGGGTGGCTGGGCTCTCCCTTAGAGATAGGGTGATAAGATCATTCATCCAGGAGGGGCTCGGAGTAGATCTGCTGCTCCTCCACATCGAGAGGAGCCAGTTGAGGTGGCTCGGGCATCTAGTTAGGATGCCTCCCTGGTGAGGTTTTCAAGGCATGCCCAACCGGGAGGTGACCTAAAGGAAGACCCAGGACACGCTGGAGCGACAATGTTTCTCAGCTGGTCAGGGAACACCTTGGGATTCCCCGGAGGAGCTGGCCCATGTGGCTGGAGAGAGGGAAGGCTACGCCTCCCTGTTTAGGCTGCAGCCCCCGAGACCCGACCCTTGATAAGTGGAGAATAATGGATGGATGGATGGATAGTCAGAGAAACTAAATTGCAAGAAAAGACACACAGTACTTACTCTAAATTAGCATTTATGACACTTTTGCAACTCTAAAGGGACGGTCACATGAGGAATGTGATGAAATTGCTGTTGTGAAGATTTTCTTCTTTAAATTTGGTCTCAAAGTATTTAATATTTACAAACATGTTGAGGTATTTTGGAAACTCATGAATTCATTAATATTCTGGCATGAGGATTATAAATGTAACATCATCCTAAAGCTGTGGAGCAAACACAAAGTCAAAAGAAAAAAACCTTTTTTTTTTGTTTCGTTTTTGCCCCAGGTAACGTTGTGAATGGAACAATTGTAAAGCAAATGGTCGACACGCTGGTGGAGTCATCCAGCAATGTGGAGATGATCCTCAAGTTCTTTGACATGTTCCTCAAGCTAAAGGATCTCACAACATCTGACAACTTCAAGAAGTATGACCCAGAGTGTAAGGGCATTATTTCTAAGAAGGAGTTCCAGAAGTCGATGGAGAGCCAGAAACAGTACAGCCAGTCGGAGATCGAGTTCCTGCTCTCGTGTGCAGAAGCCGATGAGAACGACATGTGCAACTACAAAGAGTTTGTGGAGCGATTCCACGAGCCAGCCAAAGACATCGGCTTCAACGTGGCAGTGCTGCTCACCAACCTGTCTGAACACATGTCACACAACTCTCGACTCGCCACCTTCTTGGACCTGGCAGAAAGCGTGCTTAGCTACTTTGAGCCTTACCTGGGTCTTATCGAAATCTTGGGCAGTGCGAAGCGTATTGAGAGGGTCTACTTTGAGATCAGTGAGTTGAGCCGAGAGCAGTGGGAAAAGCCGCAGGTTAAAGAATCCAAGCGTCAGTTCATCTTTGATGTGGTGAACGAGGGCGAAGAGAGCGAAAAGATGGAGATGTTTGTGAACTTCTGTGAGGACACAATTTTTGAGATGCAGCTGGCCTCACAGATCTCTGAACCGGACGTTGTAGAAACACCTGAAGAGGAGGAGGAAGAGGAAGCACACAGCATCCTTGAGGAGCTTTCTGGAGGAGAAGAAGATGCCCTGGAGTCAGCCTTGGCTTTCACCACTGCTTGTCGCTCAGTCAATAAGAATATTTCAGACATCTGGCAGATTTTTGCTGTTAAAAACATACGTAAGCAGTTCAAAAAAGTTAAGAAGCTGACAGTGGCGGCTGGCCAGTAGAGGGCGATAGGGCTCCGCCCTCTCAGTTTCCCCTGTGTTTTTAATTTTTATTTTAAAAAATAAATAAATAAAATTAACAATAATCACATATTCTAAGTTAATTGTGTGCTTTGTAACAAAAATAAATCATATATATATATATATATATATATATATATATATATATATATATATATATATATATATATATATATGTATATATATTGGTCTCTGCCGGTCTCTGCCGATCTCTGCCGGTCTCTGCCGAGCGGTGGAGGCTGTGTGCTGTTTTTCAATCGCTCAAACAAGACGGGACCAGTTGTCCAATTGCTGACAAGAAAATCAAAGGATAGGAATGGGAATGTATCCAATCAGCGTCGACGTTGTTTCAGAACGTTTCAGAAGCATGATGGGCGATAGAGCTACCGCCAAGGCTTTCGTTGGTGTTCGGTAGAACTCGGAGTCTCGACTCCAGCACGTTTTTGGTCGTGACTCGTGACGGTCGTGACGCAGACATAGTCATGGACGCCAGTGCGCCTACAACCAGGATACCGGATCTCAGCAGCCACTGAATTCAGTTCGGTCTCTTCTCCAGTATCCGTTCGAGAGGAGAACTATGGTGGAAAAACTTAATGTCAAAGAGCTTGGACCAGATCAGCCCGACGTAAAGATAAGCCAGCAGGACAAGGAGAGAGGTAAACTGTACACACGACGCTTCTCCCAAAATTGGTACACCAGGAAGCAGTGGCTAGCTGGATGCAATCACGCTAATGCGTTATTTTGCTTTCTGTGTTTGTTATTCAAAACGGCTGGGATCCACAGAAGGTGGATGTGGAACTTGTGTCTCGTTGGGGACTCCATTCATTCTCTGACTGAGGAATGCAGCGCATCAATGCAGCAGCAGCCAACAAAGAAACGGAGGACGTTTGGACAGGGAGAACAGCAGCTGGGTGCAGAGGTAAGCTGTACATTACATTTCTGTGAACAAGACAATCAGAATCAGAAATCCTTGGTTGTCCCACAAACCGGGACATTTGTTTAATAACATGTTTAATGTGCAATAACTGTAAAAACTAATTTCAACACACATACCTATTATACATATTTAATCATGTAAATGTGTATTTTCAAGTAAATTGTTACATACATCAATCTGATTCCATTTTACTCGTTACATTTCTGCTGCAGCAAACACATTTCCCAGCTTTTGGGACAATAAAACATTTCTGATTCTCAATTAGATGTTTTTACATTTGAAGTAAAAACATCTCATTGAGAACCAGAAATGTTTTATTGTCCCAAAAAGTGGGAAATATGACATTTGTAAGAGGATACTGATGACATTATTTCCTATGAAAGTGTTTCCACTTTCCGTAAGTCCTAACAGTGTAAATTTCTAGCATTTTGTCTAAGTGGTGTTTACTACCATTACTGTAACAGTGACCTGCTCATAATTTTTGGTGTTCACTCAAATGTTGAAATTAAACAAAATGTTTTTGTTACTTGCCTCTTGCATTGCCTATTTACCATTTATGGTCATGTTATTTTATGTGCAATTTAATGCAGTATTTTTCAACCTTGGTCCGCAAGGCAGCGTGCCAATAGTCAGACACACCTGGATTAATCAGTTTGTCCAATGATGTAGGACAGGAAATAAAGGAGCTGTGCTTAATTCAGGAAATAGTGAAGTTGTGCACAAAGCTCAGAAAGCACAAGTTTGTTTAAAAAAAAATAGCACAGCCCCACCAAAAATATTTTTCACCAGCCGCCACTGGAAGCTGAGCATCAGGGAGCTGATCACGGGCTTCTTCTCCTTCTTCTGGATGCTCTTCATTGGCTTCTTTAAGGGGATCTTTAGTCTCCTCTTCGGTTTCTTCCACCTCTTCTGGTCCTCCATGTTCGGAGGGGGGCTTGTTGAGGGAGCCAAGAACATGAAGGTGACCGACATCCTCGGAAACATGCCCGACCCCACTCAGTTTGGCATCCATGGAGATGTTGGAGGAGAAGACAAGTTGGAGGCTATAGAGTCATCCGGAAGCTTGGACAAAACTACGACACCGCCAGGGGACGGGACAGAAATGGACGTAATGCTGGAGATCAACTGGTGTAAGGTCAACAACCTGTCTCTGAATGTTGACAAGACAAAAGAGATGGTTGTTGACTTCAGGAGGATACGGAGTGACCACTCACCACTGAGCATCAACGGCTCCTCTGTGGAGATCGTCAACAACATCAAATTCCTGGGAGTTCACCTTGACAAAGACCTCACCTGGTCCCTCAACACCAGCTTCCTGTACAAGAAATCCCAACAGCGTCTCTTCTTTCTGAGAAGACTGAGAAAGGCCCAGCTTCCACCAACGATGCTAACCACCTTCTACAGAGGAACTATTGAGAGCATCCTGAGCTGCTGTATCACTGCCTGGTTTGGGAACTGTGCAATCTCTGACCGCAAAACCCTACAGCGGATAGTGAAAACAGCAGAGAAGATCATAGGAGTCTCCCTCCCCTCAATCAAGGACATCTACACCACACGCTGCATCCGCAAAGCCACCAGCATTGTGGCTGACTGGTCACACCCCTCTCACACACTCTTCACACTCCTGCCATCTGGAAGAAGGTACCGAAGCATTCGAGCACTCACATCCAGACTGTGCAACAGCTTCTTCCCACAGGCCATTCGTCTCCTCAACGAAAAGGGACTGGACTGATAAACGCATGCATGCACACACACTCACACACACACACGCACGCACACAAACACGCGAACACACTCATGTTCTGTCCTTAATTAGATAGTTTATTTTTCTTATATTTTTTTCATGTTGTAAATTTATGTTGCATGTAGCACCTTGGTCCTGGAGGAACGTTGTTTCGCCTCACTGTATACAAACCGTATATGGCTGAAGTGACAATAAAGTTGATTGATTGATTGATTGATTGAGATGCTGACGGTGCCCAAAAAGGAAGGAGGAAAGCATGTGGAGCCTGGACTGGGTGATGTTTCTGAGCTGTCGGGAGAATCCTCCACAGATCAAAAGAAGGTCTGATTGACTCGTTCTGATGTTGTGTTTATGGTTCTTTATCTCTTCCAGTCCAATATGTTGTTTTTTCATGAAAATATGTTGCAGAAAGCTGCAGCCAAGCCTGTGGAAACCCCAGAGAGTGAACCAGAAAAGGCAGAGTGAGCAACATCAAATATATCTAGAAGTAGTAATCAGTGAAATCGCACTTAAAATCAACAAATATCTCTACAACAGCACAGAGACCAAGGAGAAGGAAGACAAACCAAAGGAGGAGGAGGCTAAAGAGCCCGTCGCCGAGGAGAAACCTATAACCAAATCAAGTCATCCTAAAGAGGCACACACACGTCGCCTGCCTTCATGTCGTCCATCTTTGCTGTTCTTGATGATTACACGACCAAGATGCTGGTGAGCCACTGAGACTAATTCTAGTGTCTCAGAGTAGCTCAAGAATAATTTATGTCTGACTGAAATGTTAATTCTAGAGCAGCAAGTTCCGTTAATCTAAAAATGTTCCTTACAGAACTACCTGGCTCATAACTTCTACAACCTCCGTTTCCTTGCCCTGTTCGTGTGCTTCGCCATCAACTTCATCCTGCTCTTTCACAAGGTAACACGCCATCGTAGTTGTTACGGCTTCAAACGTGCCCTGCTGCTTCAGTAAGATTTAATCCAGCTACTGCTGATCTGATACGATTAAAGCTACAATCTGGAGTTTCCTCTCCTTTCAGGAAGTCTGTATGATTTGTTTTATAAATCCATAAAAGTGATAGTCTTACCCTTTACCGAGATATAGGTCAAGCCACGCCCACCTACTTCTGAGCTATGGGTCCACAACCGCCAATAAAAGTTTGATATGTGCCATGGTTTCCACATGTGATGTCTGAGTTTTAAAGACACATTTTGATGCCAAAATAGTGCTTATTTCCAAACAGCGGCAACAGCTATTTTAGGTTTTGTGTGAAAAGACGGTCTTTCAGCGTTAGCGTTAAGTACAGATGTCACAGGACAAACCTAGACAGAGGCAGAGTTGGCAACGTTTTTCATAGACAAGTAAATCTAAATCTATATATGAGAAAAACTAACAAATCGCATAAGCTGTGAATAAAAATAGTAAATCAAAGTTTAAGCTCTGGTGAGAACAGCTTATGGTGCAATACATGTGTCAGTCTCTAGATGGTGCCATCGTATACAGCACACTCCGGATTCCTGCTTTAACTGGTAATGAAGGCCTGAGGTTGGGAACCTTTCTGGTCTGGAGCGTACCAGTGTGTGTTTATACAAGGGCAAAGGCCATGGAACGGCAATTTCTGCTCACTCAGAACTGTTGAAATGCTATTTCCAACTTGGCGTTGAAAGATAATTCACAAATGGAAAACAATTAAAATAATCTTGTAAATTTACCTCAAGATCAGACAACAATGCTCAGAAAATACAAAAATAAATCAAATTCTGCATCTGAGACGCTGCAGGCCTCGGTTTGGTGTGACTTGTTTAGAAAGGTTGCAGGAGAACGTCTCTTCCCTTTTTAACTATCCCAGAATAACTTCAACTTCGAATTATCCACAAGACATCTGCACCAAAGTCCTTTAGACCGATGAGGCTGTAGTAGAGACGCAGTGGTCTCAACCTGATGTTTGCTTTTTAGGTCACTGGTGAGACTGAAGAAGAAGTTGACGAAGACGACCGCTGGGAAGGAGATGAGGAGGATGACGGTGAGAACACGCTGTTTGACATGGACGAGTTTGTGCTTCAAGAGAGCACTGGATACAAGCAACCAACGCTGCGTTTCCTGGCTGTTTTCCACACGGTCATCTCGCTCCCCTGCTTGGTCGGATACTACTATCTAAAGGTAAACCCGTTGAACGCATCTCAGGATGGTGCCCTTCCTTGTGCTTCACTTAAGTTAGATTTGTGTTCCTTCAGGTTCCTTTGGTGGTCTTCAAGAGGGAGAAGGAGATAGCCAGGAAGCTTGAGTTTGACGGTTTGTACATCACTGAG